TTTATTTTAATTAGTTTCAAGCATACAGTACATTGGTTAGACATTTAACTAGTTTATAAAATGATGCTCCTAATTGCTCCTTCTCTCCTTTGGTTTTCTACCTACCCAATATATTAATGCTAACTGTATTCTCTATGCCATGCTCCCCATCCCTGTGACCATCTACCAACTACTAATTTGTACTTCTTTAACCCTTCACCCCATTCTTCCAGCCCCTCAACCCCTTCTCCCCTCTGTCCATCACCAAATTGTCCACTATATTTGTGTGTCTGTTTTTGATTAGTTTGTTCTTTTTGTGCCTTAGATTCCGCATGTAAGTGAAATCATATGGTATTTATCTTTCTCTGACTTATAAAAATAAAAGTTTTGGATAGTATCACATTCAAGTTTTTGTTATTAATTATTAAAATCAAATAATGATTTTTTTAAAGGATCATTTATATATGCCTGCCACCTTGGATTTAGATGCCCTTTCTATTTAGTTCTTTAAAAAAAGATAGGAAAAGATATCTACTTTACAAAAAAGTTGCAAAAAATAAAATTTAAGCTTGCAAAAGGTGGTCACAGTGTATAATTACAATGTTTCTAATCAAATAATGTATGACAGTCACAGTTTTAATTTATGTAAACCATAATCTGTTGTCAATATTAACTTCATCTTACAACAACAAACTAGATATAGAGGATTCCTCACAGTTTTCCCTTTCTCCAAGCTCCACCCCAAACTATGCCAAAGTAAGAAGAAAACAAGCAAGTTATTTTTAAAAATAAAACTGAACTTCGCAATTTTAAGTTCTCTTAACTTTTAAGGAAAAAAAAAAATGTTTATTTTTTATGTTTTTTTTTCTTTCGCGGAAGTGTTAAATCTTAAAGTACTACCATAAATTGTAATGTTAATAAATCAAAAACACTGTTACACTTGGGATTTAAGCAACTTTCCCAATCCAGTAGTATCAAAAGAAAACACTTGAGATTTTAATTAATTTTTAGAGAGAAAAAAATTAAAAAAAAATTCCTCTTTAACTATCTAAAGCAAGCAGCTATAAGGGAAGCCAACCTCCTTCCTGACTCACTCTCAGTACCAACTTCCTCCCATTTTCCACTGTAGCCTCTGGAGCATGTCTGATTATAAACAAGGTCTCCTGCACCCCAAATCTCTTTAATCTCTGTATCTGCCTGAAAGAAAACTAGACCCCTCACACAAAAAACTGCATCACTTGTGGCCCTCAAGAGTTAGTTATTCATTCTCCAAGGCTCTCTATAATTTCCCTACCTTTCTTAGGCAAATGCCCTCGCCTCACTTAAAGCTCACTATTCCTCCTTCTATATACCCTTCCAACAAACATGTACTAATGCCTGCTATATAGCAGGCTTCAGAACTATATACCCTTATAGAGGTTAAAATGCACTGAGACATGAGACAAATACACACACACACACATACAAATTGCTAATTATGAAAGAAAAGAATAAAAAGGTATATGAGAATGATTTAGTCAGGTCAAGAGTAGGGGAAAGAACATTTTAAGATAAAAGGAAGGAAGGAACTTGGTTTTCAAGGAAATCAAGTGCAAGTGGAGGGGAGTAGTATGAGAGGGTGAGGAGGTGGGCAGAGTCTTGAGGGTCATGTGAAGGACTTTGAATTTTATTCTAAATACAACAAAAAATAATTGATAGAGTTTTAAAACCTCATTCCTATCACAGTCATCTACTTATCTGCTCACATTTAATTTTCTTCAGCTCTACCCCAATTCCTTCCAAATCCTAGACAGCTTGAACATCCAAAACTTTACAGTTCCTCAACATCCAGGACTTCAGTGGCATCATCTCCACCTCAAGCAAACTTCCCTTTACTTTTTCCTTGTTCCAAACTACTCCACCTCTGAAAATCAATTTTAATATTTCATTCTTAGACAATACCCCTCATCGATCCTATTCTTCTATTTCCTACACCTATCATGCTTGTCCTTCAACCATTAAAAATTTTCATCTGATTAGAAAAAATTGGAAGTAATACAATTTCATTGGAATAAATAAAAATTTATTACTATTTCTTCCATCCCGACCAAGGCATTTAGGCTTCTTGACACCCATCTCCATGCTCATACCAGCATATGAGAATTTATATACACAAAGAAAGAGATGCTTGTTTTGATTATAAAAAGTGAATCATGCCAAATACATAATTATGTGACTTTTCTTCACCTAAAAATAAAAACCATGGACAAATCTCAAGCCAGCAGATATAGATTGAATTCCTTCTTTAAACTGCTATAACATACTTATTGACACCAGAATATCTCAAAGCAGGCTCTTCAGTGAAGTGCTTCTAATTTTTATAGTTGGAAAAGAACTGATGCTTGTGACTGAAAATGTCTAGAAGAATGGTTTCTCATAGCACTTCAGCAGAGGGTAACAGGTCTCAGGCCCATGAGAACTAAAGCCATCATCATGCATTTTACCATTTGGTTTGCTACTGCCCAAGAAATATGCAAGGCAGGCTGCTGGCAGATATTGAAGGGACCACAATCATGAGTAGGCAAGGAAAATTAAAACTCACTTATGGGGCTTGGAAAGAAAAGATGGCTAGCAGAACAGAAATCTGAGATGCCTACTGAAGTAGAACCAGTGGAAGAAACAGAAGAGAATTTTAATAAAAATATAATGGAATTATGACACTAAACAAAACAAACCTCAACACTTTCAGGAACTAAAAAAAAACACAATTTCTGAATTAGAAATTGCATGTCCAACAGAAAAAAAGAATGACTGCTCTGAGAACCACATTAGTGGTCAGAAAAATCAGGTGGAAGAAATATCTCACAAGAAACCCAGTGACAGACACCCTGAGGAAAAAGTCAAGTTGGAGGTCAGACCCAGGAGACAAAATGAGGAAGAGGAAAGAACATGTGGAGAGGCAATATCATATAAATAATGGAAGAAAATTTTCAGAATTTAAGGAAGGGATGAGGCCCTGAATATTGAAGACAGGAAGAAAATCCTGCCAGACTGTTAGTACTGTGAGGACAAGGGCATTCTGGGACAGTGGGAAGCTGAAAGCTGGGACAATTTTAGGGACACCAGGGCACTGACTCTGGACCTCCCTGAGTTTGGTTCACACTCCAGAAGATCCCAGTGTCATGTGCTTAATGCTCCATGTGGAAACATTAAGCAAGAGATTGTGAAAGTTCTTCTAGGGTGTGGCAAACTTCCTTTGTTGTCCTGTGACACTAGCACTGAACATCATCCTTAGGGACTGCACAGTAGTCTTTCCTTCCATAGTCCATCTAAAACATTGCAGGTACCAACTTTTAAATGCCATATACAGAAATTACTTTGATAAAAATTAAAAATATAAAAGAGAATGCATTCAAAGATGAGGTAAATGCATGATTGTTAAATTTTAAAAAAAAATTTATTTATGAAATGTATATGAAGGTAGCATGGTCATAGTTAAAATCAGAGATTCTGGATGCGTGTCATTTACTAGCTGTGTGACTTTGTGCAAGTTACTTAGCCTTTCTGTGTTTTGGTTTCCTTAAAAGCAAATGGAATAAATAGCACCTAGTTCATCAGACATAAAGATTCAAAAAGTTAATACATACGACATACTCAGAACTTTGATACACAATAAGTACTCAATAAATAATAGCAATGCAGCTGCTGGGCTGCTGCTTTTCTACTGCTTACAGTAGTAGGAAAGCAGCACTGTACACAGAGCTTCGATTTTGGAATCAGAAGACTTGAGTTCAAATGCCAATTTTAAAACAAGTTTTATACCACAGCCACAGTAGTTAATCCCTTTATGCTTACATTTTTTCATATCTACAACAGGAATATGAATATCTTCCTCTGTCAACATTCAGCCATCTATCCACAAACATCAACTGAGTATCTCCTTTATACCAAATATTGTTAGTAGCTGAAATAGAAATATGAATAAGGTACAGTTCTCCCCTTAAGGAGCTCACAGTCTAGTGAGCAACACTCAAGAACTTTAATTTCCTTTCATGTGAGTATTTCTTAAGGCTCCCTTTGCCTCAGGGATGAAGAAAAAACCACGAAGATCAAGCATGTGTGCAAGTACCTCAAGTACTATGATTTAAAAAAAAAAAAAAAGGAAAAGAAAAAGGCAATGCTAATATAGTTAGCAACTGTTGAACAAAAAATGTATCTAGTTTCTGAAATTAATATCTTTGCTATTTTAAGAAAAACACTATGAAGCAGTTGGGTCACTGGGGACTAAGTCCCTGCAGGTGATATAGCTGTGTTAGGAATGAGGGGACCAGAGAAAAGTAGGTCCCCATTTCTGATCAGAGAAGAGGATAAAACATCTTGGGGAGATCGAGCTTTGTTTATAAGCTGGACTGTGTAGTACACAACCTGCCTCTTTGAATGATCTTTTGAGACCTGGGCATCCTCTGACTAAACAGCTCTCAAGCCATTGTCTGAGAGGAATCACTATTACGTGATCCCTTGTTAAGTACATTCACCCCCTTTCAGGACTGTCCTGCTTTAGCATGTAGGGTGGGAGACTATGGGGAACAAGTTCTCCTCTACATATCTCTTTTACATCATTCCCAAAATAAAGGCCTTATCCTAAAGCTTCTTAGTATTAAGAATGCTTATTTTGATTGATTCATGTGAGTTGGTCATGGGTAAGGGTGAGTGAGACAAGTTGTTCCCCTTGAGTCCTTTAGTTAACTCAAAGGCTTTAGAATGTCTAAATTCTAAATTATCAGATAATTACTAATATAAAATGAAGAACAAAATAGACTATAAATTCAAAGGAGAGACTGAGAGCCTATTCTTTATAAAGAAACACTGTATGCCAACATGTTTTCATCTATTGCCATCAGTTGGCATTTAATAGCTATGACTTAAAATTCAATATTTAAAACCTCACAGATATTATAATGGCATCTTAGCATATACCTGAAATAATATTAAGTAAATTGAGGCATTGGGTATCTTTAGAAAATATGTAATTATATCATTATTAAAAATTAATATGCAGAATATTTCCTTTATTATATTAATATATATGTACATAGCACCACAATGTAAAACAATTATGTGTGTTATTAAAAATCATGTATTTGGCTCATAAATAGCCTAGATTTATTACAAATTCACTTGGATGGTGGGTACAGAAACACAAAGAATGATTCTGGCTTCTTTTATGTGCACATAAAAAACATTCTAAAAACCAATATAATATAAATAGAAAATAAACCAGAACTAAGTAAAAATTATCCAGCAAAAAAAGAATACTGATATCTATCTTGTTTTAAAGTTTCAATTGGATAATAAATTATGTTTCAAAATCTTTAAATAAAAACTCTAATTCTACCACCCACAAGTCATAAAGTAGAACAACAGATAGTATATTTATTTTTTACCTAATCACTTTGTAGACTCACAGTAAAAATCTATTGCTTATAGAAAACAAATTCAACAGTTTATCCAAACATTGTTACATAAGAAGTTTTAAGAAATTGTAAATAATTCTTAATACTCTCGTTTTGATTCTCCGACTTTTCAAGACTATGTTGTATTTCTTTCAAACATACTTCCTGATGTTGTGCTTTCTAAATAAAAAAAAAGAAATAAAGATAATCATTAATGACATTCATATCAAAGGAGAGTCATAATATAAAATTTATATATGTATACAATGATTGACTACATGATTTTTAGTTTTTCTAAAAGAAAGAATCCTAACATCTGATTTGTTCATTATTAACTCATCTTAGAGCTGACTTTCTTTAAAATCCCAAATAACTAAAGCCCATACATGGCTGATCTTACTATGAAGATATAGTTTGTGGTAATATACATTCACTTAGCCCCAAATTATTACATATTTAACATGATTAACTGAATAAATGAGTTTTATTTAAAACCATCATAATTACTCTTACATTTAACATGACATATTTAAACACTAGTTTTTACCATTTTCTCTGCCTAAAATCCATATTTTATGCCATAAAAATGACTTTTACTATCTTAAAATTGACAGAATTTTAGTTCTGATCATATAAACATTTTATTTTTAGAATCCTTTAAAAAAATAAAAAAGAACTCTTAATAATATAAATGTTCTTTATTTGTGAAAAAAATTTAAAAAATAAAAAATAAAAATCTAATTTGAGAAAAAAATAAAAATGATATTTTAAAATATTTTTTAAAATATTCAGTTGCATATAAATTCCCAAGTACATCTGTTCACTAAAAATACTTTAGACAGGCCACAAATACTATTTAACTTCCAACTGAAATGTAGGCATCTTGAGAAAAAAATCTTTTATTTCCTTCCTATCAGGTGTTCAATGATACCTGATACCTTCTGAAACTCAGTAATGCCCCTCAGGTGAAGAGAGATGATATGAAGCAGTGTGCTACAGAATGAATATAATGAATCTTTGTGGAATGTCAGTTTTCCTCAACAATTTGGAGGGGAAAATATTAATACAAACACACTTATATTGTTGGGCAGAATGCAAAATGTGCATGGATTTTAGGATAATACACGTGACTCCAAAGATATTTTAGGCCTCAGGAACACTGGCTTGTTTTAAGCTACTGAGGTCGCCATTGGATCTATGCATCCACTCTGCCTCTGACTGGAACACTTGGGCAAAAAATCTCAAGAGGCCTGCTACTATGGGCAGAACACTGTGGAAGACACCAGGATACAATCAATTATGAGACAGGCTCTCAGGGTGCTTACGATTCAGTTGGAGTTCAGGCATGTATACAAAATAAATACTGAACTGTCCTCTGGAAGAGAAAGAATACATAAACTCATTTTCAGCAATGTCTAAATCAATGCTTAGAATTCTAGATTTTTATTACTGTAAAAATCACCGGGTTTAATAAAATATCAAATTTTAAATCTATATATTTTGGCAGCTTTTGCCAAGTACTGGGAACATTATAGCAAAACCCATATCATCTCAGTATACCTATGTTATTTTTTCAGAGGCTTTAATTACACAAAGAACATCACACATATTTACAATATCAGCAACTCTGACAGTGAGTAAAAAGAAACAAACAAACAAACAAACAAACAAAACATTTAGAAATAAGGAAAAGCCTGTGCTAAATTAAAAGTGGAAAACATTTAGTTCTGATTAAACTGCCATGGAGCTTTCAATGGTGATAAAATTAAAATAATATGGCATGCCAAAAATCATTTAACTTTTGAATCTTTCAGGTTTTCAACTTTTAGATATTTGGGGATGAAAAACTAGTTTTCATGGAGTCTCTGGCTCCTGGAAAAAATTAAGCATCATTATTTTCCGTGTTATGGTTAAATAGAGTTTTCAAGTAATTTAGTCATGACTAGTGCTAGCTTTCATAATATCTCCTGCCAATTGGCTATCTCATGACTATTTAGGAAAAAACATTATAAGACTAATTAAACACAGCCAATTTGGTATTCTCATTTCATGACTGAGTGGACCAAAGCATCCATTTCATATGCAGATATAACAATGCTAAATATTTACTTAATACCAACTTATAACTTTCTAAAATATAATATTCATTATTCAAAACGGGTATCAAAATCTAACTCATAATAATAATTTAAATTGTGTTTATCTTTAAAAAAATGAAAAATTTATACCAGAATGAAAATAAGTAGATTATATCTGTAACTTTCATTAAGCAGCTGTCATGCAAAAGCAATATGTAGGAAAAGGGCCCAATGAGAATTTGGGGGAAATGGAACAGAAGCCACCAAGGATGAGGACAATAATTCTTTGGCATAATCTTGACATTTTTAATTTTTATGATTTGCTATTTTTAATGTTATCAGTAAAGCAAAAGGCCTGATTCCCCTTACTTTGTACTTTAACTGTTTAAGAAAACTGACATGGAATGTTAAGAATGTTAAGAATGTTAAATGCTAATTTATTTTTTTTAGGAAAATACATTAAGCCATATTAATACTTACATTGTTTATTTTGCAAACGAGTTGATTTTGTTCTTCATTTTTCTTTCTAAGCTCAGTTTCCAGATCTAATATTTTAATTTGTAAAGCCCTCTCTCTAGATGACATTTTCTCTATTTCTTCGGAAACCTGTAATTTTTATTAAAAGAATAAAGTAACTAAACGCACTTTCTTTAAAGTATGATTGAAAGCCTTGACATAGTTACACCATATATCTTTTTTCCAAATAGATATTAATTGAATGCTAGACATTTTAATTACAAAATGTTTAAAAATGTTCTATCTTAAAGAAGCACATGTAGTATAAGTATGTATATTTGCCCTTGCAGTACAAGTGTCTGCAAAATTAGCTTGGAGGTGTATGCATCTGCACCGCTCTGTGACTTAACCAGGTGTTTTCCCTAATACTATATTTTTATAACCTATTGAGACCAATTGCTATGTTTTATGGTATTTATATTCACCATGGTGGCTAGAGTGCTAATGGAACATAGAAAGTTGTTATTAAATACTGATTATAGACTTGAATGGAAAGAATTGGGGGCAGGGCAGGTGATATATACACCTCACACATAAAAATGAAATTGATTTTTCACTCATTGACTTCTAAAGTGGTCTGAATTTGAGTTTTCACATTTCTCTAATTGATAATTTTAGTAGAAAGTCTAACTTCGCTATGTTCATCCAAGGATTCAGATATGTGGGAGCCTATTTGCAAGAATGTTAGGTTGGAGCCACCAGAATGAGAGTGGAGGCAGAAACTACTTAAGCACCAAGGAGCTAGTGGGAAGGGCTGTCCTCTAATCTAACTCCTATGGACTCAGTTCTAAGTTATTATAAAGTGATTTACAAACATATCTTGTGCACAAATTCTACGGGTGACTGTGAAAGAGGGATGCTGGCAGTATTTGAAGCTGTGGGAGAACGAGCACTCGGAACAAATGTCCATGCCCTTGACCATGTCTCTTAGTGTAGACAATGGTGACAGTGCAGTGACAGCACTCCTCATGGGGCAGAAACTAGAGATAGCCCCATATTTCATGGCAGCAGGAGGAAAACGAGAGGGCAGACATATCTCTGAGGACTCTGAACACATTTGAGCAGGAATCTGAGAGACCTATCATTTCCAAAGTTCACTTAGGCTGAAAACAAGATAAAAGCACTTATTTTCCTCCCAAAAGTTGGTGGCATTGACAAATCTGGATTACATTTCTACCATTGGCAGTACATTTTACTACTTAGCTCTTATCCAATGATATGTCTTTTAATATCAATTTAAATTGGTTTCCTGGAGTTAAAAAAAATTAAAAATATATATGACACTTGTGATATGAGAGCCACATTTCAAGGATATCAGATTTTATCTGACTCATGAAATTACCATTAGCAGGCTTGAGAAAGAATATGCATAGCAGAGACTTTAGAAGAAAATACTCAGAATTTGATGTTGGAAATATTAAATTTGAGATGCTTCTGTTAAGTGGACATGTCAAGTAAGTAGCAGAATATATGAGTTCAGATTTCAGGGGAGAGAGGCTGGGGTAGAGGTATACATCTGAGAGTCATCTGGTATTGACAATCTCTCTTTAGCATCATTCGGTCCTATGAGAAACACATCATCCCCATCTTACCAACTAAAACACTAAAGTTTTAAGAAGTAACTTGTCTGAGGTCAGGGTATAATATGCCAGAGACAGAATTCAAACCCAGTTCCTGCTGGACTCCAAAGCCTACTTCCTGTCCTTTCAAGATTACACTTTCAAATCATTTGGTAAATTTACCTCTTCTTTGAGATCTTCCTGAATCATTTCTCCTCAACCCCAGGTTCAACTGCTTTGTACCCTCCCTTTATACCTACATGCTGGATAATGTTTATTCATACTCTATCTCCCTACGGAACTATGAATGTCGTGAGAACTGAGGCCAGATCTTACTCATCTTTGCATCTCAAGGACTAGTAGAGACACACAGTGAGATATTTATTAAATGCTAACCAAATGGATTTAACCGGAATTTAATTCTTGCATGCATTTATGTAACAATATTTGCCAAAAGAAAAGGGATCTGAGCTTTATAGCTTACTGGGTCTTGACCAAAACCAAAATGTTCAATAATTTGCACATTTGCTTTGGTTTGATTAAAAAAGCGGTGGGTGGGGGAGAACATTCCTTCAAAGTGTTTTCCATCTCTGCCCTTTACCCTGCCACATCATCATTATCTGGTAAAGTAACTATGGACAGTAATATATTTGTTTAGCTCCAAAAGTCAAAAGTAGGTAAAAAAAAATAAAAATGTAATTGCTCTCTTCACCCTGTCATCAGGATAAAAACAATAACTGTAAATCTGGCAAAATGAGATATTGTTTGTTTGAAAAGAGGACTCTTTGGTAAACTAATTAAAAAGTTCTAAATAAAGGCCATCTGTACCTTTTGTCTTCCTTCTTCTAAAGCAGCTTCCAGCTGTCTGGCCAATGCTGTATATTCTGCAGACTTCTCTTTCAACTTAAGATTGCTGTGCTTAAGACATTCTTCTTGGTTTTCCAGCTTCTTTTCAAGTTCTTTATTTTCTGCATCCATCTGTTCTAATTTTCTTTTTACAGAAAACATATATTTTAAAATATATAGAAAAAAATATAACACCAATTTTAAGTCGATTTAATACTTACTGTTTAAGGTTTTCACACTTCAATTGAATAAGATAATTTTCTTCCTCCAGAGAAAGTTTTGTCAGAAGATTGTGATTTCCATCAATCTAAAAAAGAAAATATTTTTTTCTTGGTTATTTTCTTTATAATCAATTTCCAAAGAAATCTATACTTTATTGTAAGAGCAATCATAAAAATCAAGAAGGTATAAATATTATTATTACTTCTACACAGAGAGACACCAAGAAACATTGCATTGTTAAAATACAAGTTCTTAAATTCCTGATTAAGTTTAAAAAATCTATGCTGTCTCATGGCAACTCATCTACTACAAATTTTTCTGAGAGATGGTAATTAAAACTTCCTGAAAAATGTTTTGTTGAAAAAGGACATTTATTTTTATTAAGTGCGAAATTTTAAACAGTATTAATCTCCTACTGTAGAATATTTGGGGTTACTTTTATAGTTTTTTGTTTCACCTAAATAGTAATTGATAACTGAATATCTATGAAATTGTAATTATGAGTAAAAACCATATTTGTGAAAAGCAAATTGGAAATCAAAGGCACACTAGCCCATGCTAAGACAGAATGTTCCTCTCAATTGCTTCAAATACTATATTTAAATAGTTTCGAAGCTTTGAAATAGAAAACTTTTTTCATAATTTCAATTAATAACTTACTTATCTATGTAATTTGACATTTTTCTAAAAAAAATCTCTTCTCAAAAATTTAAATTCAGCAAAGTTTTGTTTGTATGTTTTTAAAAATAGGATGTATTTCAAAATTAGAATCAAGGCTACAGTGAAAGATAGAAAGGGATCATTCCTAAAATAGTTTTACAAATAAGAAAAAAGCTTGCTGCCATCCTTGGACATGCTTCTTGGAAAAAAAAGAGGACTTAATTAAAAAAACATTGACTAAATGCTTACTGTGTGGTAGGCATTGAATTAGATGTCTATACAGTAACTAACAAGGCACCCATAATCTGTGGTCCAATGGAGTAAAAAAGCATATACCAAAAAGAACAATTGAAATAATCCAAGTAAACTTGATGTACAATTCTAATTAAAATAAATTCTAATTTTTGTAAGATAAATTACAAATTGTAAGATGTTTACAACAAACATAGCATTGCTCCTTTTCTCTTGTCCGTCTATGTCTAAATACAGATTTGTAAGAGTAAACTAAATTAGCAATTTTGGTTACCAATTTTTTGCTATAAATTATTAAAATAGCTTGCAAAATAATATTACAGTATCTACATAAAACTGATATTTTATCAACTGACAGCTGGGAGAAAAAAAATCAACCCCTGACATGAGTGCCCTCAACTGGTGAAATCATTCCAAAGCATTTCTTTAACACATCTAGCAAAATCAGAATGATGGCTAGACACCTGGCCCTGAAGCTCCCTAATGGTGTGTGCTTGGTCTGCACATTTCCCCTTGTAGTGATGCAGACTCTCCTGACACTCTTGAAGCTTCTGTTCCGCCGCCGTCAAGGAATCGCGGACGCACTCTAACTCCTTCAGATGAGACTCCATCTGGCCTCTCATCTGAGTTGTAGCATTAGGGAAATAAGTGCAAGATCACACGTTCAGCATTAATGATTTTACTATCTTAAATACTAGATACACTTATATGTATTTTAGGTATAATGGTTTTAAATAAAATGGTTTAAAATAAACATGAATAAACATTAAGTTAGACTCTACTAAATAAGAACATATAACTCAAAAGTGGTCTGGACGTGAATTAGTTTTCAAAAAGTTTGTTGATAAATGATTATAGTAATATTAGCTTGCAAGGAGAATGTTTAACCTACTTAGGAAAGCAAACTTTCTGAATCTTTTTATTTATATTCAAGCAGAGATATTATTAATAAAGCTGGTATGGACAGTGGTAGTTTTCCACTGTCTAGGCATCAGTCTAAAGTAATTGTCACATTTTGTCATTTAATCTTATAACTCAGGTATTCCAATTACAGCAACCTTGCTGCACTCATCTTAGTCCAAATTTGTGGGGTTTGCTGTACATTATTGCAAGGTAGCTAATAACATTAGTCCATAGTAGTCTATTTGATCATTAATGTTATTATGAAATAAGTCTCTCTAATTTTATCTATATTAATCTCTTTGGTTGCTGCAGTTCCTCACTGTAGCAATTAGTGCTGTGACAAGAAGCAACAGTACAAGATATGCTTGTACTGTTAATTATGAAAAAATAAGCAGACATACGGCATTTAAGATATTCATAGGGAAGAAAAACAAGAGCTAGCTTCTTTCCCTGACACAGGAAACACCTAGAGCTACTATGCAACATCCGGCATTCTTAGTCACAAAAGATAAAACTAGAAGGAAGCATATCTCTGGGTCCCCAAACACCTTAAGAGCTCATACGAAAACTAGGAGACTTAAAACAGTGGAAAAGTAAAAGGAAGAATTTCATTTAAAAAAATAACTTTTCTGGTTTAATACAAATAAAAAAAACACTGTGACCTTATAGGTATCTGAAAAACACAGGCTCCTGCCCCATCTGCCTTTTGAACACGTTTTTTAAATAGGCTTCTATTTACACCGCTGCTTAGCAAAAGAGGAGACATTTGAATTGGTATGCCTATTGAGAAAAAGAGACCAAGAGACATGAAATGATTTCTTCTCTGATCTGCTAAAAATAGGTGAAAAATAATTTTAAAAAAGTAATAAGTTGTACATTTGATGGGTTATCTTTATCTCTGTTTAACCAGCAAAATGTCTGCTCTGGCTGACCTCTTCTTCGCATTGGTGTCTCACTTGAATGTCTCAGTCCCAAGATATGGAGAAAACCCAGAGACAATCACCTTATTACCCTCAGCTGGAACTGAACAGTAACATCCCATGACACTCCAGCCAAGAGTTAGCATCCTACGACTTTCACTGCTTTCTTACCAAACAAGATGAAAAGACTCAAAAAGGGATGCGGTTTCATTTAAAAACTTAAAAATATGCACAAAAACATCATAACTTGCCAACACTGGCTTTCCCTTCATTCTGTTGCAATAGGGTGAAAAAAAGGAAATAATGTTTTTTTAATGATATTATTTTTTTCCAACAAAGCATTTAGCAGAGAATATTTACTTTGTTTTTTTAGACACAAAAAATTTACTACCAGAAAAATAAGGTGAGATTAAAAATGAGAAAGAGGTATTCAAGTTTGCATACTTATGGTTGATATGACTCAGTGATAACCATTTTTGAGCTACTTAAGTCTGCTTTTGAATAAGGAAAATTAAACATTTATGATGTTTTCCAAAAATTATGGAAAAAGTGAAAAAACATTCATACAAACAAACAGCATTACAAGCCTGGAAGAAACGTTATTTCCTCAGAAAACAAACTCCTACAGAGATTGAGAACTGATAATTCCTAGGTCTATTTATAAAGTATGAAACTTAAATAAAATGTTATTTTATTATTTAAAATGTCAAACTTACCTTTTCTAATTTTTTATTTTTGTTTTTTGTTATTTGGTTATTTTCACTTAGCAAATTTTCACATTTTCTTTTCACCATTTCAGCTGCTTCTTGTAACTTTTGTATCTGAAAATAAAATATATTATTAGAGTAACATGTATTATTTTATTATTAGGATCATAATTTGAAATAAAAGGCTAACTATTTGAATTTTCAATTTTAAACAAATCATTATTTCTCTAGCAATACTCTCAGTATGTTTACCTTATTCCTTCTTTAAATACTGGAATCACTCAATGCTCTCTTCTAATCCACAAACCTTTTATGATTTACCTGTCTTTTCCCATCAATACTCTAGACTCTTCGTTTGAGTTCTGAATATTAGGGAGATCTTCATTTGCAGGTCAATGTTACTTTAAAAAATCAACTTCTGGTTCAAACTAGCTCCTATACCAATTATTCTACCCTCCAAATCAAAATCTGCTCAAAAAATATCTGACTGAGCCCTTTATACAAGGCATACCACCTAGATACGGTAACTTACCCAAAATATTCTTGTTAAGGGATTAAACCCAAACAACCATTCCCAGATAACACAGGCCATTGTCCAACACAGGCTCCATTCTGGCCTTGATGACTACAGTATTCTAACTGGGTGTCTCAACTCCATTTTCCCATCTAACACACCCTGATGCAGCCCTGTCCTAGTTACCAACAGCTTTTATCTTTAGTTCATTATTCTTTAATTCAAATGTCCTCTTCCAATAAAATCATACTCTTTATTGACCAGTTATTACCCATCATTCATGGACCTGCATAAATCTCATCTTCTCATGGAGTTTTTCTTAAACACTACATTTCCAAAACATAATCTTTTCTATAAATTATCATTGAATACATGCTCTATTCTATATATATTGTCATATGTTCCTTCCTTGGTCTTTAATGGGAATAAATTTGAATTATACTTTCTTAATTCATTGAAAAAAAGGGAGTATTGGGCTTTAATGACCTTGGAAGGGAGTTATTATTCTAAATTAATACCATATACAAGATAACAAACAAATATAATCAAGATTAACAAGATTACACATAAGGTTTACATTATGTCTATGCAATTAATTTTAGATCTACTTTTAGAAATATCCAGTGCATACGCAGGCAATGTTTGAATCATGAATCGGCAGAATCATCTTTTTATAAAAATATTTGGGACCTTAAGAAATATTTGAGACTTGTCATATTCGATCACAAAATAATAGCTCCACCTTTCCTCAGTTCTGCTTATTTAGATCATAAACAAATGTAGTGTTTTAAATTGTCTACCAAATTTAACAAACATTAAAATAAATGTAGTGGTCACCTGAGTTTTATACACTTCAATAAGGGTTTTCTGTTGTTTTTCTACTTCTTCCAATTCTAAGAGTTCATTTTCAACTGAAACCACCTCATCCTTCAAAGCAGCAAGTGTAGTCTAGCAAGAAATATATAAATATATGTTATAAATCATTAAAATTCATTTGTACTCCAGTGCTCTAGGGTTATAAAAACATAACTCATTTATCAACAAAGTTAATAAAATAATTATTTTTGATTAAATATAATTATCACATAAAAATTTAGGAATTTCAAAAAGTAAGTAATACTTACAAATAACCTTAAAAGACTGATGCAAGACATATTTTTAAAACTTTTAAAATTTACTCACACAAAAATAATTGTAAGATTGACCATGTTCTTGTATGGGAAGACTCAAAACTGTTGACATGTCAGTTTTTTGGCAAATCAACAGAACTTTAATGTAATTTCAACCAAAAATAGAACAGTTGGGGGAAAGGAGAATATGACAAAATTATTTAAAATTCATATGGAAAAATAAATAGAAAAGACTAATAAAATTTTGAAAGGAATACTAAATGGAGAATTTCAGTATTTACTAGATATTAAAATGTATAAAGAACTAAAATTAACATAATAATATAAGAACATAGAGGTTAATGGAATAAAAAAAGAAAAAATTATATTTATTGCAATTATATTGCACTAAAATTATATTTAGTGCATGACAAAGTTTGGATATTTAAATCAATGGGGAAAATATAGATCACAAATAATGGTAATAAGATAACTGTTTAACTATTAGAAAAATATAGATTACTTGCCTCTACCAAACCCTATGTTTTACATTTATTAAAAATAAAACATAAAGCTATAAAATTTTTCACAGAAAATTTTATTTGATTTTAGGATAGCGAAAGCCCCACTAAGCATAAATTTTTTAAAAAAAGATAATAAGTACTGTAAAGATCTGAGATTTTACCCTCCAAGTTTATAAGTTAGCCTAGCACGGTTGCATGGATGCTAACAGAAGACACAAGACTCCTAGTTTTGAGACACAGGACTTTATTACTCCCAGCAATAGCCAGATATCAGCATTTGTGTTAACTTTCTAAGCCCCAGTTCCCACAGGCCAGCTGACACCTATACATGTATTGGGATACATTGCAGAAGAGCAATGCTGAGTTTTGGGAACTTGTGTAACAAGCAGTAAACATGACTACCCTTTGGTAGAAGGAAACATCGCTATCTTCCAAGCATTTGAAAGCAAGCATTGCTATCTTCCTATCTTTTTCTATACAAACATCCTTGAAAAGATAGTCTGGCTCTATAGGCAGTCTGTGTCTTTGCTTGCAAGATGTCCAGAAATATGAGATTCCCAATAGAAGCCATAAAAGAAAAAAATACACACACACAAGCACACAACTACACACACACACACAACTATACACACACGTGTGTGTACATGTATATCTCCAAATGTCATAGGCCCCTCAAAAGATTTAACAGGCAAGCAAAATATGAAAAAGTAACAAATTATGGCAAAAGATTAATACCATTTATATATATAGTTCTTATATATTAATTAGGAAAAAAGACATAAAGAATAATAAGTAGATAATTCAAAAAGGCAGAAATATAAATGATCATTAAATACATGATATATATGTGTTATTTACATGTACACCATGTCAAGATAGACAAAAAGAAGAGATTGATGGACGAAAAACAAGAATAAGAAGTAAAATAATCATATGTGAAAGCAGGATAGGAATGATAAAGAGCCTCCTGAGAAAAGGACCTGTGACTTTTTTCTTTTTTTCTAAGAGTGTGACTTTTTGAGGGAAGAGGGTTTTGGTCGAGAAAAGCAATGGTGGGAGAAGCTCTGGCCAGTTAGGGAAAAAAAGCAAGAAGGCCAGTGAGATAGGAAGGGAGAAAACAAAGGGAGAGTGGGAGCAGATGAGGTCAGAGAAGTAATGGGAAGCCAGATGGTGTGATGCCTTGTAAATGTTTACTCTATCAATCAAGGTATCATTTGGAGAGTTTTGAGCAGTGCCATGGGTATATTTTCATAGAAACTACTCTACTGCTACACTGAAGGCTAACTGCAGGGGCAAGAGAAGAGTTAGGAAGTCAGTATAACGACAAGAGACGATGGCTTGAACCAGGATAATGGCAGTGGTGCTGGTGAGAAGTGATCAAATTCTGGGTATAACTGAAGTAGATTCACTGACAGAATGGAAGCAGGTGTGAGAGAAAGGAGTCAAGGATGACCCAAAGTAATAGAAAGGATGATTGCCATTAACAGAGATGAGGAAAACTGTAGGAGAAACTATTTCAGAGGATATAGGAGCTCTATTTTGGACATAACTTTGAAATACCTATTAAATATCTAAGTGGAGATTTGAAGTAGGCAGTAGACTATTGTCTGGAATTCAGGGGCAAGGTCAAATCTAGAGATATAAATTTGAAAGCTTCCGGGATACAGATGATAGTTAAAGGCCTAATGCTAGATGAGATCATCTGTCAAATCTGGAGAGATTTGCTTTAAAATTGCTTAGTACTAGAAAAAGTATATGGGCCCATTTACAGTGGATAATTTGGAAATAAATAACACCAATATCAAAAATTGGCCTCCCTTTGACCATATAATTCCACTTCTAGAAATTTACCCTAAGAAAACAGACATGCAAAAAGACTCAAAGAAACTATCCACATTTTTATTTAAAATAGCAAAAATCTGGAAGTAGTCCAAAGTCCCAAAAAATATATATATTCTAAGATACTAACTTTAGTTATCTTTGTTGTGAGGTTCAAGGTGATTTTTCAATTTTTCTTTTTGTGCTTTTCTGTTTTTCTAACTTTCTATAATAAATAAATAGAACTTTATAATCCTTCAAATAAACTTTTGTTTTTTTAATAGAGGAGGTCACTGGGCTTGGAAGTAATATCAGCTAGCTTCTTTTTCATTTGAAAGTATAAAATCTAAAATTATTCTAAAGTAATTAAAAGCATCAAAAATATAACATCTAGGCAATTTTACATTGAAAATAACATATACCAAATATATCTAGACTTTTTTTCCTTAAACAAAATCCAGAGAATGCATAAGAAACACGTTTCTGCATTATTAATAGAATAAGATGCGAACTTTAACTCAATGATTTTATATCTATGTAATTTAAAATTAATTCCATTACCATGTGATTAAAACTAGATTTATAATAAATGAAATATCCTTCTAATCTTTTCTCTCTGAAAGATATCAAGGAAATTAAGAAAATAAACATAATAAAATTGCTTCCTCTTCTCAGATAAAACATTTTAAGCGCTCACTCAATAAATATTCACTGAGAGCTAAGTATATGTCACATCACTCTTGGAGTTTATAAGAAAAGATTCATCCTAAATGAGAAGATTTAAGGTGTTGGCGGTGGTGGGGGTGGGGAGTAGTATTTGAGTTAAAATTTAAAGAAAAGGTAGAGTTTAGATACTGGGAAAAATAGAATTCCAAACTGTAAGAGTAATAAAACTATAGAAATAGATACAGGAAAACATGAATGAATTGCAGGAAATAAGTATTCATATTTGGCTAGCGCTCAGGATAACTAGTAGACTACATTTCTTAGTCTCCCTTACAGCTATGTGGGGCCATATACCTAAATAAGTAGAAGAGCTGAGTGGTATGAAACTTTCAGGAAGTCTCCCTAAAGGGAAGGAGATTGGGGGGAAATAAAGGGAGATAATTCATCTTTCCCGCTCCCACCTCTATTTTGTTGCCTCCAACTTAGCTATAATGGCTGGAGCTCCAGCTGTCATTTTAAATCATGAGGATGAGCATCACAACCTAAAAATGGTAGAGTAGATAGCTAAAAAGAGGCTAGGTTATCTGATGCCCTATCAGCTTCGAACTTCCAACTCTGGCCATCTCTTACATAAAAAGATTCTTTTCTGTCTTCTATTCACTGTCTTCCGAAAATAATAATATGGAACTGAAAATGACGCCATTGTTTTCAGTCAAGTTTTATCTTGACTGAAGAGGTTACATATATCTCTGAGAACTCAAATATCTTTTTTCCCAGAAAATATAAAAGCCTTTTCTCATCTTTTCTCTGGTACACATATAAACCAATCACCCCTTGGATTTAATTAAGTTGGAAAATTCTTTCTGGTTATGAAGCAGCCAAGAACATACTTTCTGGTTTCAAACAGACCAGGCCTGAGGTTATATCATATCATAACCATGACACCTAGAAATAATCTTCTGCATTAAAGTTAATGTAATTTTAGATGAGTCATTTAACTGCTAAAATTGGAGAGTAAATAATCTTTTTTGGTTGAAACAAAGAGACAGTTATTCAACCTCATAAGTCTTATTTAACACTGCTGAAAACAATTTTAACATGTATCTGTGTATACAACTATAAACTATATAAATATGTGTATATACATGTCTATACATACAGACATATAAAGATAGATCTGTTAGAAGTTACTGATTATGATACTCTGAGAAACATAAGGACAAAATGATACAAGAGCATTATTCTAAACATGCTGTTATTTCCAGCTACTGCTATTAAGTAGCCTAAGTTGCCCTTACACATTACACACACACAGACACACACACACACACATACACACACACACAGTACCTTTAATTTTGTATTCTCAAGATTCAGAGTTTCACTTTCATATTCAATTGACTGAAGTTTTCTAAGAATTTCTTCACATGATGTTTTCCCATGGTCTTCCATTTTCTTCAGGTCTTCCAAAAGATTAAGGATTTGCCTTTACAAAATAAATGATGTATTTGTAAAAAATTATAGAAATTTTCATTCAAATAATATATTTTAAGTGTGTTTCTAAAATTATTTGGGTAGAATAAACTGTTTCAAAAGTTAATAGAACTCATAGAACAAGGAAAATATGAAGCAGTTACCTATATAAAGTTACTACCTTAGTAACCTTGATTAGAAATACTAAACATTGATGATGCCAATAAAAAATTACACAACATTCTCTTTGCTATTCAATAAAACATCTAAACTAATCCACAGGTATGTTTGTCTGTCTGTCTCTCATTCGCACACATGCACACACATACAATTTCAGGACAAGGATAAATAAAAGGATGAGGTGAGGCAATAACTAATCTTTAGAAGCAAAGTATATATGCTCATTTTCAATAATAACATAGAAAGGAATATATAAAAAGCAAGATATTTAAAAGCAAATATTCAGGGTTCATTGGTAGCTTATCAATCAATTTCAAAGCATAAAATATATGTATTTTTATCATTTTCTTTTTTATGCATTTCAAGCACTTTATGGAATAATATTTTTTAGAATTTTGAAAGCATTTATGCTTTTATTATAAACATTATTATATATTCTTACTAATACATTCTTGTTCAGTAGAGAAATATCACTTCCATTTTAAGACAAAGTTAGTGTTAACATTTACTACAACTAATAGATGACAGATATCCAAATACCACATACTTACGAGTTCAAAGTTTTGAAATGTGAATACCAACAGACTTTTATTGGTAATCATTTTTATTATATTTTTTTAGAGCAAAGTAAGAAAAGTTTGTAGAATTATAAATAGAAAAATATCAAATCATACAGATAATACCTTTACTACATGTAATTCAGAAGAACCAAAATACAAACCAAAGGAAAGAACTGAAATGGTTATTATACTGTAAAAAGATTCTAAATTTTTTTCTTACTTTTTCATTGTTTCTATCTGAACTTCCAATTCAGTTTTTTCTATTAAAATTTTCTCATAATGACTTTTCCAGGCATTGGAAGCTAAAATTGCTTCAGACAACTTGGCTTCCTGAAAAACACAGAAAGTACTCATCTTGTAATTTAATAACACTTTAGTTTTGTTCACAGCCCTAAACACAAATACATTATAAACAAGGAAACATCCTGTAAAGTATAAAACTTCTGTTATAGAAAATTTCAGTGTATAACTCTGAATATAGGAATGTTTTCAAGTAAACTTTAATATCTTTATGTTACTATTATTTAATATGTACATAGTGGTAGTTCCAACAAAACATTTTAAGGATGTTGTTATAACTACTTCAAACAATGTTTTAGAATTAGTGAAGATAATTTCCTTTCTATGAACTTTTCATTTTGCATTCTATATACAGAAGATACTAACAACCACGTAAGCATCAGACAAAGCCTTCTGGTGTATATGGAAACTTCCTACAATTCCACAATTCCATAGCATTTACTAATACAGCCTTATTTATCTATTATAATGATGCCAGGCTGTTTTGTGGAGGTTACTCCCATTGGCCTTCAAACATTGTTACTGTCAGCAAAGAGATCAAAGTAGTAGTGGTGGCTTATCCACTTTGAACGCGAGCTCACAGAAGTAGAGATTTTTATCCGTTTTGTTCATTGCTAGGCCTTTGAATACAGTGCCCGGCATACAGCAGACTTTAACAAATAACTGCTAAATGAATCTACTCTTTACAAATCCACCTAGTGAGCTATATAGCCATTGTGTAACCCGTTTACATTCTACAAAAAAAACAAACTCCCTGGAATGACAACAGTGCCAATAGTTACTAATCAGAAGGCCCAGAAGTACAACAGTACTTATCCACGGGGGTTATGCCCTAAGTCCCTCGGTAGCTGACTGAAAATGCTGATAGTATCAAACCCTATATGTGCTATGTTTTTTTTGTATACATACATACCTATGATAAAGTTTAATTTATAAATTAGGCACAGAAAAAGATTAACAATAACTAATAATAAATTAGAACAATTATAACAACATACTGTAATAACCGTTACGTGAATGTGGTCTTTCTCTCTCAAAATATCTTATTGTACTATCCTCACCCTTCTTGTGATGTGAGATAATAAAATGCCTTAAGTTGAGAACTTTCAGCTTTTCACTCAAAGGAAGCACTTTATGGCTTCTCTTTGGCATATCCAAATTGCCAGCATCTCTACTCTCCTGTTTTGGAGACATTATTAAGTAAAATAAGGTTTACTTGAACATAAACACTGTGATACTGCGACCATAGATCTGATCATTGAGATGGCTAATGAGTGACTAACAGGCAGATAGCATATACAGTGTGGATGTGCTAGACAAAGGGATGATTCATGACCAGGCAGGACAAAATGGGATGGTGCAAGATTTCATCACGCCACGCAGAATGTTGTGCAATTTAAAACCTACAAATTGTTGATTTCTGGAATCTTCCACTTAATATTTTTGTACCATGATTGACTGTGGGTAACTGAAACTGAGGAGAACAAAACCACAGATAAGGGGGGACTACTGTAGTAATGATTAGAGTTAACATTTATTGGGTGCTTTCTTCTGTCCTTCTATCATTCACCCAGTTGTTGAACAAGTAGTTATTGAACATCTACTATGTGCAAGACATTTTTTGTTTATATTGTTTACAGTATCATTTTTGCTGTATTGAAGAAAGGCTAGTATTCTGTTTTTATATTTTGTAAAATAAATATGCACTATGAAATATAAGCTGGGCAATTATAAATTAAGATATTTAGAAATTTTACCTATAAAATAAATGCTATGAAGAAAACTTAAGACATTCATATGATTAACTGGTGTGGAGCTACTTCAAAATGAGTGATCAATGAAGGCCTCTGAAGAGATGTCAATTAAAAAATGATTAAAAAAAGAACCAGCTATTGTGAGCCGGAAAAGAACGTTACAGCCAAAGGCAATAGCAAACAAAACAATGAAACAAAAACAATGAAACAAACTCCTTGTATTACAGGAACAGAAAGGAGGCCAATATGGCAAAAATGTAATATGGCCAGGCACTGTGCTCTGACATATATTTTCTCATTTATTCTTCCCTATAAGCATGAGACAGATAGTATTATTATCCCTATTTTATAGATAAGAAAGGTGAAGCTTAGAGAGGTTAGGTACCTTAACCAAAGTCACAAGGTTAATAAGGGGAGGAACCTTCCTATACTACTATCTGGGGCATGGATGATATGGCACGATTTAAATAGGAAAATCCTAAAAATGGCAATGACTCAGATGGTTTTTATCACTCAGGAATATTTTCAGGCATTCAAGTAGGTCTACAACGCTCAATATTTCGAACCTAGCCCTCAATTCTTTTATCTAGTTAAATTCTTCTGAATGTAGGTAGGTTAAATATTAGTCTTAAAATGTTAACACTTGCGATTATAAAATATTACATTGTTTTCTTTACATAAGCATTTATAAGTCTGTTTTCATTTCTAAAAACCTCAAATAATTCTATGAGTCTTAATATCTTAAGGTCTTAAGAGGAGGAATACCAGTGAGACATTAAAAAGAGTGAATGCTTTATTAATTAGTAATTGAGTAAATATAATAATTTGTTAAAAACAACAAAGTACTAAGTCCATTTTTCAACTTTGTACTACACGCAAAGATAACTTTCACATGGTGTGTTTACGTCAGCAAATGGTTTTAAATGCATTACAGAGTTTAAATGAAGTGAATTACTGAATGAAGTCATATGGCCTAATAAAATAAATCAGCATTTCCCAAACTGGTGTTCCTCAGAACCAGTTCCAAGAGCTGCTTTGTGGGTTAAAGAAGGGTTCTGCGGTTAAATAAGTGGTGGGAAACTCTGAGTTCAATATCTTCCATTACATTGCTTTACTTTTACTGAAGCCTTCTCAGTGCCTCTAATATGCTAATGTACACTGAAAATTTCAAGGGAAAATATGTATGAAATTTTACCCTTAGTTAGTTGGCCATAGAAGCTTTGAGACACACATTTCCTTTAAGTAAAATTCCCCAGGAAATGCTGATATAACTCAATATATAATTTGACATTTTATGTAATCTTTCAAAATAAAGACTAAAGCAAAACACTATGAGTAAAGTTTTTCTAGTATCAGTAACATAAAGAGAAGAATAAAATTATTTTATTAAGAATCATGACATTAACCACATAAACTGAGTACATAAAATAGTTCTTTAAGAAAGAATTTTATACTTACCTGATCTCTAATTTGGGAAGTAAGGTTTTCAATGTCTCCAGTAAAATGTTCAAGCCTTTGTTTGTAAACTTTAGATGCCTTTTTGAGGGCTATAACTTTTTGCTGACTCGATTCTTTCATTGCTATAGTCTCCTGCTTATTGTTTTTCAATTGCAAGTTCCACTGGGCTATCTTGGTCTCCAAGCTCTAAAACAAAATATTAGCAGCAATTATTTTAGAGCTCCAATGTTTATGTAAACATTGCAAAAATATGTAAATAATCTTCCACATAGAGTTTACTAAAAGGATTCATTGTATGATTAATAAAAAGCAAAACAGTGATGAAAAGATGATTTCATCAATGTTTATCTGTAACTAGTCGCAATACGAATTTAAGATACAAAAGTTTACATAAAACAAATGCTACTCTTCTTATAAAGATACCAATATCACTGATTACAGCACAAATACTAACTTCCTTAAAACTATTGTGATTAACTAGAACTTCGCATCTAGACTATTACACATAGGACTAGTTATTTTAAATCAAAAAACAATAATTGAGCGGGAAACAGTTCAAACAACAGGTACACAAAGCTCAAAGAAATCAGTAGCTCACCAAAAATATTAGGGCTCTCTAGCTAAAATGAGAAAGGTTTTAAGGATATATGATCAAAATCTATAGAATATGAAGGGTAGGGATGAGATAAACACAGATAAAATTACCAAATTTTAATTTACTAGAATTAAGGGGCATGTCTGGACACTTAAAAGAGTTCACCAAGGACAACAGAAGTACTGCTTTATCCAATGAGTCGTAACTTTGGGGAGGGCATTATTCCAAGATTGAACGAGTTTAGATAAGCAAATGACTACTAGGTCCATTAGAGTTAGTAAGAATAAAAAGATATTTGAAGGGGATGTTTCTACCTGTTGAGTTTAATAGTGTTAAGTAGAATGGCTGTTTTTTTGATGACATAATGAGACAGACAATATTAGGCTCGGAAGATGATGGATATGATTTAGTGTGACTACTATCATGGGTTTTTTTCCAAATTATTTTAAGAATTTGTATTTAAAGTATTTGAGTATTAGGTATCTAAGAATTTAAAGACTTAAGATTTTAATGCTTTTATACTTTTTGAATGTTGCGTAATACTGAAAAGAATGTAGAATTGTTACAGAATTTAAGTTTTAGTCTCCCATTCATTGGACAATCATTTTAATTTTAAAGACTCAAAGAAGTTATGGTAAAAAATGGGGGCTTTTCTTCTTAACTCTATAATCAGCAAAAACTATGCTTCTCCGTTTCCACTAAAATTAAGATTAAGATGTAAATCTAAAACAAGATTTAAAGACTTGATCTCTTTGAAAAGTGACAAGGTAGAATAGGGGAAGCAGTAAAATATTCTCAAATTGTCTCTAAAAATTTTTCTTAACCTGAAAAATCCCAGGAAATGTTTTAATGAGTAGTTGGGGAAAAACAAATTACTAACAATAAGTCTACTTAAGAGAAACAAAGACCCCTGCAGGAAATACAGCTGTTATTCCTCTGTGAAACCACAGGGTGTCATCATCACATCATGAATAATTGATACACTTTAAAAAATCCTTTTAAATATCAAAAGTGAAGTAAATTTTTTGAAAAAGGTTCCAGTCAAGACTTTCTTAATGGATCTATCAAATTCCATACTATTAGGGATTGTATTATCAAATTATTTTTAGTTTCAGAATAACTAGTCATTTGTCAAAACAATAGACACATATTTAAAGTCAATTATTTGCCTTTTTCATATTTCCAAAGAACTACACATGCTGCATATTACAAGTCATTCTGTTCTTCTAAAATGTAAAAATATTCTAACTCTAATTGCTATATTATAAAAATCCAAAAATAAAAATAGGTTCAAAGTATCTTTTGGTTAGTTCTCAGAGAATTATAACGTAATTTATATTGTTTAAATGAAATGACTCAACAATACTAAAAAATTGAGATTTCTGTTGCCAAATTGAGTTCACTGTGTTTGTACTCTAAAAGATAACTTGTTAAACCTAAACTGAAGAACTGAATTCTGACCCCCAATTACTTACTTAATGCCTTAAATTCCAAAAGTGTGTGTGTAAGAGAGAATGTAGAAAATTATAGCACGTAACCTAATGCAACTTCTTTTAATCATTTCTAAACAGCTGAATTTTTTTTTAAGTAATTTAAATTCAAAGTATTAGACAGTAGACTGTCATGGTAAAATCTTAGGATTTTAGCTTTATATTCTTTCCCCAAATTAGCATGGGTATATGAAGTAACCATTATATAATCTTTTTTAAAAAAATTATTTATTATTATTTATGCCTACAGCACCTGGTCTTCCTAGGTAGTCTCCCATCCAAGTACTAACCAGGCCCGACCCTGCTTAAGCTTCCAAGATCAGACATAGGGCTTGTTCACGGTGGCATGGCCACACACCATGGACTGAGGCTCCACTGGGGTGTGAACCCAGGACCTCCTGCGTGTAAAGCAGATGTGCTAACCACTACACTATGGAACCACGTCCATGAAGTAACTGTAAACTTTAAAAAATCACTTAATATTTCATTTTTAAGTTGAAGAAAATAATTTCAAAAATTTCACCAACTGCTATTTGAGGACATAATTAAAAATTGTGTAAGATAAAATTGCAGTGGATGATTATCTGAGATGTTAAATCATATGTATTTTCTTATATTAACCATGACAAGCAATGCAACAGCAACTTTAGTTCATGTGCAGTGCCCAGGACACTGATCAAAGGACACAGGAAGTCTATGAGAGAAAGTGCTTAAAGCACATGTAGGGGGACAGAGGACAAATTTTACATCTCCCATAATCCTGATTAGTGTCCCTTCGATAGGCAAAAGCTTTTTGCTATTGAAAGAAAAAAAAAAGAAAGACCCCAAGTGCATTCTTGAAACATGTGTCACAGATTGTGGGCATCTGCTACGATTCAGGAGCGCAAAAGCAAACAAATTTGACACAGAAGTCCTCACACCCAATAGGATTTGTCTTGGTATACTTCTCTTCTGAAAGTGGGAATACTTTTTGTTTTTCTTTGGCAAAAATATTGACAACAGATCCAATTAGCTTGTGTCATATCAAAGCAACCTCAAATTCCTATGGAAAAGTGACTGTGAGGCTTCCTAAAGAACATTTAAACCACTCAGTTTAAACCAATAATTCTTCTTATTTATACCGCTAAAAAAAAAAAACTATATGCCAAGGAGATTATTTGATTGTCTGAATACCAAACCTAAGTTATCTGATTTTAAAGTTATTACCATTAGTAACAAACACAAAAATAATAAACATTTATTGACTACTTACTAAATATGTGTGAGAGTATGTATGTATGTATGTATAGATGTAGGAAAAAAACTGGAATACTATATACCAAAGTGTAAACACAGGTTTCGGTATATTTATTTTACAAATTATCCACAATAAACATAAAAAACTATATACTAGAAAAGTTTTTTTGTTTGTTTGTTTGTTTTAAGTAATTCAAGCTCTACAAGTCATTCTTAGATTAGTACTAAAATGAGACAGCATTTTTATATTGGAATTTGGAGGCAAATCTTTAGACAGCTGAGAAATCTTAAAATTAAGATTTGCCTCAAATATATATTTCCCATGGCAACACTTCAGTTTAATTCTTTAAACACCATCACATTCCAGAATTAAGTAAAGGCTTTTATACTAGGTCATTAACTTTATCACAAACTATAAAAATGGATGAATATAACCTTTATGTATTCTTTTAATTTATCATTCTCTGATTCCTTTTTATGAATTTGGAACTGTAGTCGTTCATGTACTACTTTCACTGATTGTGAAAAACGGTTTGCTTTCAAAGCATTTGCCTAAAACAGAGAAAACAAAAAAATGCATTACTTGATATATTTCTCCACAATCTTTAACTTTACCCGTATTTAGACACAAACTGAAAAATTGATAAAAAATAAAGTAAGACTTTACATAAACCATGACCCCCCCTATTACAAAATATATTTTATGTAAGGCTTTTGGGATGTTTTCTCTGTCCTCTTTTTATTTAATGGCTCTTCATAATTATTTCTTTTTTAAAATTCCTATCTTCCAAAGTAAAATTATGGGTATGTCTAAAATGCTCCTACAAACACCCAAATTCCCTACTTTATACTAAAATTGAAATACAAATTTACACATAGTTCCTAACAGTGATTTATGCCAAGTACCCTGACAGAAACATCATAAAAATCTTTTAAAAAACCTTTAAATAATTAAGATGTCATATTTGTTACATAAAACTTGTAAAATACCAAAATAATCTAAAAACCTTTTGTATCTATTTCTGATATGGGGGCCAGGATAGAAAGAAGGTAAGGAATCAATATTAAGAAAATAAATGAATTAAGCTCAAAATTTGCTTACCTTTTCATTCTGAAACAAACAAGAAAGTTCTTGGATATACGTCTCCTTTTCAAGTACCTTCTTCTTAAGATTCTTCAGCAAATATAATGTAAGAGTTAGAAATATCATAACTTTAATAATGGTGGCTAATTTTATAAAGCCAAGCAACATACAAACAAAAAATAAACACAAAGCATAAAAAGACACAAAGTGTAAAAACAGACACAAAGTGTAAAAAGACTTACAGTATTTTCACTTTCATTATCAGTTAGCCTCTCTAATATGCTGGACAAACTGTCGCCTATCTGTGAAAAAAAGATTCTATAAATCAGTGTTTAAAAGTAGTAGAATGTGGAATAAGTCTCAATTAAGAAATTAATATGAACAACTACTATGCACAGTTTAGATTTTTTTTTAATTAACATCAGAAGGATTTTTGCCCAAGTTTTCCAAATTATGTTTTGTACACAAGTTATGAAATTAGTGGAGTTACTAAATTAATCTCTAAATGACTCAGAAAGTACAAGCCCATGACATAAAAATCACAAAAATCTTGCCTACAGAAGCTCACAGTGCTGTTAACAGGTCAAAATTATAAACAACCTAATTCTATCAATAAGAAATTTTTTGTAATTATACCAAATCAGTAACAATTCTACGTAGACATTTGAAATGAGAATAGAGAAGATCGTGTATTCATTTTGAGTGTTATATTCCCAGTGAAGAATGTGAAAAAGCTATGAATTCCTTTCACTCAAAGCACATATGCATATACATATAATGTAAAATCATATACACAGTTCGTGGACTTCAGGAAACACATCCTTATGTTCTATAAGGGCATTGCTTGGCATACATATATGTTTTCATTTCTTTAGGTACAACATATAAATGAATGTTCCCAGCAGCTTTATTCCTAACAGCCAAAAGCAGAAGCAACCCAAGCGTTCATCAACTGAGGAATGGAAAAGTAAAAGTGGTCTACCCATACAACAAAATATGGGTCAGCAATAAAGAGAGATGAAGCACTGATAAGTGCTACAGCATGGATGAACCTTGAAAACATGTTAAATGAAAGATGGCAGTCATGAACAATCACACATGAAATGAGCCCATTTATATGAAATGTCAAGAATTGGCAAATGCATAGAGACAGAAAGTAGGTAATAGGCTGGGTGGGTATGGGAAGTGAACTTCTAAAGGGCATGGAGTTTCTTTTTTGTAGTCATGAAAATGCTGTAAAATTGATTGGAGTGATGGCCACACAATTCTGTGAATACACTAAAAATCATTGAATTGTACACTTTAAAAGGGTGAATTGTATGGTATGTGACTTATATCACGACAAAACTGCTACCAAAACCCCCCATAAATTATAACTATAATGTACACAAGAGCTTAAATTCTAAGAGTATTCTATTGTAATCAACTGAAAATTATAGTATAACAAAGTTTTTGAGATATAAACTAAAAATATATTTTCTATAAAAATGTTGCTTTCTTGTAAGACTATTTATAAAATAATAAAAGTAGGGATTAGTTTAAGGGTTGCCATTTCAAACCAAAATTCAAGTATTATTTCCATTTCAAATATACCATTTTAATTTCTATGGTTTGAGAAATAATATAGCCTTCAAATGAAGGCTATTAAATTAGTGGTTAATGTTCCTTACTTGTTGGTATTCTGTCTTTCTAAGAAGATATTCAAAAGATTGTTTTACACGTTTAAAAGTGTTTAATTCTTTTGTTAATATCTCCTTCTGTTTAAAAATCTTCTTCAAATTGGATGCAGAAAGATTAGCCTGACAAAATATAAAAACCACATACATATTTTAAGATATAGCATTAAGATACTCTAAAATGTTACTATTATCAAAAAACTTTTTCCTAGTATCAAAATCATTATTTTGTACATAGTAATAGTAAATTTTGCCAAGTTTATTGATAGTAATAGGATGTTACCTAGTATATTAAAGTAAAATGAAATCAAAATAAGGGCTTAAACCCTAAAATATTTGTCATTTATTTAAATAAAACTAATAGAATACAATCCAGTGTTTTGTTCTTTACTCAAACTTTAGTATACTGAAATTTTAGAATACAGATTTCTATTTCCACATAACATTAGAGAAAAGAGATTTATTTCATCTCTCAGAATATTTTTTATTTTAAATTCACTCTTGAGAAAAACTGACTCCCTAATTCAAATCCAGGTAAATTGAGCATCAAGGTATGCAGTTTCTAGCTTGGCCTCTTATCAAGTACATGCTTGAGATTATCTCTGAGGAAAAGAGTTACAGTTACTGACATACGAATAAAGAACACTGATGATAAACCTGCATTTTTTTTATATCAAATACCAGTATGTGAGTATAACCACTTTAATATATGAGACCGTAGTTAATGCATTGAGTATTATGCTAACTTTTCATTTTATTAGATGTTCACAAGTACTCACATTTTCAAAACTAATTTCTTCAATGGTGTCCTTAAATAATGGCAAAAGTAATTCTACAGAGTAGGTTGCCAACTCGGCTTCCTTATATGTTGCTTCCAATTCAGTTGTTTCATTTAAGACGCCCTGCTGTAAACTAATTAGATATTCACAAACAAAATTTAAGTTAAATCTGTCACATAAACTAGGTATACTTTTAGGCAAACATATTATAGCCTAACTAAATATTACAGTTCCATAAATTGTTCTACAAAATGTAACAGTAAATTGTCACTGAAAATGTAATAAATTTTTCTATACTTCCATATTTTTTCTACATTTACTATAAATAAAGACAGTTTTTAAAATGTTAAGATATATAAAACACAAAGACCACCAACAGCAATGTTTCACTGTGCAATTTGATAATTAATCAACATCCCTTTTACAGTAAAATGATTTGTGTGCATGTTTGTCTATTTTAATTCCCTTCCTTCTCCCTCATCCAAACCCAAAAGATTTGTCTTTCCAGATCGTATTCCCAAACCTTTTCTTGAAACTTACAGTTCACAAAAAAGTCCTCCAGAAGAATGAATAACCTAAACTAATGGAACACAAAAAACCTAAAGCTCTCTAGGTATCTCAAAATCCTTCACATCTGTGTTCATAATTATCATTCAGAACAAATCTGATAATATTTGCCTTCCTGATTATGTTTTGCCTAGATAATACTGTGCAATATCTGTAAGATACATTTTTTGGGGGGAGGGTCACATTTTTACATCCTGAAATCACGATGCTTCTTGCAAACTTTGTCAATCAGGAGGCAGTCCTGAGCTGGCAATCCTGTACATGCTCAAAAGGTATAGAATGGGTGTCCAACGCTTTGCCAAATACCCAGAGATTGGGTGCAGCACTTTTTTAACCCCTAAGAATACAGGGTCATAGACAGAGTTTGAGGGAGTTAGTGAAGTAGGAATGCTTAGCAACATTTCAGAAGCAAGACTCAATGTAGCCTTGCTGTATATGGTAATTAAGAGCCCAGTAACAATAAATTTTATTTCAGTTAAAGATCCTAAGAAATGTCATGTCACCAATAATCTTAAAAGCAAGGACTACTTGAGTTAAAAAGTGACTCAGAAGAGTTGGACTAGTATACAGAGAAGTTTTGAGAATACCTAATTCATTTATTTCACTTACATTTTATTTTTATATAAGCACAGAGTTGTTTGAATAAAACTCTATGTATAATTAAGTTTGAAGAACTTTTTCAACATTTATAAATTCCAAGTCTTTAATTAGCAGTATTTTTCTTTCTGAAACATAATATAATGGCTCATCAGCAACTGATGGCATCTTAGAGGTTATGTCAAAAAGTAGATGTTTTCTTAAATACCACTGGCTTAAAATGATGGGCCTAAAAAGATACTGGCTATGAATGACAAGTGTCCATTATTAAAAACCTTGGACAGAAAGTCAAGAATGATTATATATGACCAAATATCTTCATTTGTAACAAGCTAAACTGGAAGCTAAACTAATGGTATTTTGATTGTCATTTTGTGGGGCAATGAGTCATATAAATAATGAGTATATTCCCCATCATAAAGAAGCAAAATATGATAAGTATTTGTTTGATCAATATGCCAAGTAAAAGTAAATTAATACTCATAAACTATATTTCCAAAATTCCATAGTATGTATATTTTCATTTACCTTAGTTAAAATGCTTTATACTTTAAAAATTCTTTTAGGTAAGGTTTTTGTTTTTAAGTGCTTTCATTAAGATTCAAAAAAACTGGCCAAATTTTGCTAAATGAGTACATTTATAATCAAATTAAATGTTAATTACTAGATTTGAAGAAAATATTCTTAAAAGAATGCTATATTTGATTCGAATAATTTACAACGTGAACAAAACATGAAACTCTGAAATCAGATAATTAGATAGCCCCTATTGTTGAGAATACCAGCTAAGATGACTTTCACTGGCATGAAGTGGTAAATGTTCTTTCTCTGGTCTACTTTGAAAATGTGAAAATAGTTCTTCTGAATGACTTCTATCATTTGCAGGCTTCTCCATATATTCAGGAAATGGATTGATAGATGGCTTCTACGACTTCTTCACATAAGCTGAAACCTAGGAAATATTTTAATTATTAAATTTATCATTTCATTAGATTCTTTTTTTCCTGTCATTACTCAATGATATAAGATAGAAATCCTGGAGATGTTTAAACGAATATTTCACAGACAAATTGGAACTCTTAACTGTTACTCATTGTGATAGTAATTCAAAATTGTATCAAAATTGCATAGCACAACCATTCAACAATTGCCAATTTCTATAAACATTTTCCAAAAGACCACTCTTTTCTACATAATCACAAAAATGTAGACATTTTTATTAGTCTATTTCTTCAAGCATTATAATAATATCTTAAAACAGACTAGAAAACAGATAGAAAAACCATGGGTTAACAATAGTGCTCATTGTTATTTATGCCTAGAAGATACTTTTGAAAGTATTTGACAATAGCTACAAAGATGTTATCTCTTTAAAAGTGGACCTTTCAAAATTACATTCATTCATTCTCATTTTGTAGCTCAATCTAGGATATTCCTTGGTGATAATGAATAAGACAAATGGCATTACTTCTAAGTTTTACTGAATAAAGTAATTGCTTTCACTCAAACTTATAGATGTCATTTTAAAAACGTGAATATTTATGAATTTCTTTAAAACTGTTCCAGTTTAATGAGTTACTGCTTCAGTAATCCTTAAGGCTGTGTTTTTACAACTCTGATATATGGTAATGTGTCTTCCTAACTTCATTTTGTTTATATAAAATCAAATAGTATATTTAAGGTTTTCTGCATTTTTTCAGATATTTATCTCTTTATAATTTAGTTTTATATATCTGTGTTATAAAATACTTATGTTTAAGAACTTTCAATACTTTAGGTAGATGAAATAAGTTGAAAATTACTCACAACATATATTTAATTAGCAATTTCGAAACCTTCCAAAGTGTCTGTAAAAATCTAATTTTGTCTGAAAGTTCTATATACCATAGAGGCAAATATTTAAAATATAGGCCAATGAAAAGCATTTTTATATTTTTGAAATACCAGAGACTCATGCCCAAATGAAACTGCTAAATAACCTACAGATAGACTAAGATGACCTACTTGAATGCTGCAAATATGTAACATCTGCTATTAAGGAATAACAATATTTAAGCTAGCTGTAGTCTAGAAGAATTAAAAGTAAACAGACATACAAAATCAAATGAAAAACCAAACCTAAGGGTGAAGAAGAATATGCTCTGGATAAGTCACTGCAATCAAAAGAACTATCGCCTACTGATTTCATTTGCAATAGTTACCCCACTAAAAAAAGAATTGGTATTTATCTTTCAGCCATTCACTTCTTTAAATATTTGTTCCTCTGTACAGTGGAATCTCATAAAAGAGCCTTATAAAAGTTAAGCAAAAATTAGAGAAGACTCGAGGTTTATAGCCGTTAACGAAAATGATGAATAAAAACTGTTGCTTTTTACTTATTCACCCCTCGATTCATCTTTTCTTGGATCGTTAAAAGAAAAATGGTTTCTATATTTGGAATAAAATTTTAAAAATCAATGTAAAGGAATAGGGATCTTCAATTTGTAGGAAATTTTATAAGATTCAGTTTTGTATCAATATTTTAAATGAGTTCTTACTTAGCTTTGTGGGCTACTGGGAGCTACTTATACAATTTTTCTAAGTTTCATCACAAGATAAAAGCATACATCATTTTTCTGCTTTATCTCCTATAAAAGTGACTGTCTTATTTTAAATGGTAAGCACTGTAAAAATTGGGATTTTAGATTGACTTTTAGTCCAACATTCTAAAAGTTTATCTTCATTACAGACTCCTCAGACCACAAAGCAGAGAACTATATAAATCAAGTCTCAGATATTTCCATAGAAATTATCAATAATCATATCCTTACAATCTAGAAATATTTTCCAGGATAAAAACTATTCAGAGGTTCTCAAGCATTCCACTATTTCCATGTTGCGACAATACTATAACTAAATACATGTGTGTGCTGAAGAACAATGTAGTAATTTTATTTAGCATAATAAGTCCTACAGTCATAAAAAATGCTATCATGTTAGTGAATCAAATGTATTATTCTTATATGGAAAAGCAGATGTTTTGCAAGAAAATGTTTTCCATTATGTAGAATAATACTGTCTTTGACAAATGTATTATACTTTTGAACAACTTGTTAGTAATGAACTAACACATGTTGTGCACATGAACACATGATCAAATCACTAAAGGTTAGCAATTTTTAAATATTTTTAATGTTTAAACAATTAAATCTCCTATATAGAGATGACTTTACCAGTCCCCTACCAAAAAGGCATGTACTTAAGTCTTTTTCCAGGTCTGATCATGGGTGTATGCTGATCCAGCTACACTCACTCAACTGTGTTCCATTTTGGCCAACGACAAGCATTTGAGAGATGGCTGTTCAGTGACGCTGGCCATGGTGAGAGAAAAGAAAGATCACGATCCATGACCTTCCTTAGCATCTAGATGTTCTGAGTAAACTAACCAGCTGCAGACACATATGTATTTAAAATTAATCTTTCCAAAGAGAAAAGCATGTGAATCTTGAAGATTTCTATTTGTTTTGCCAAACATTAATTCTTGAAAATTAGCTCCCACTGGCTTCAAATAAAAGCACATAGCTTCTACTGAAGAATTCACTATAAAATATTCAGCAAGGAACACAAAGTACATATAGTAATGCTGCTTGTTTCTCATTATTTCTAGACACTAGTCAAAAGTTTACTAGAGAAGTAATTGTGTGGCTTTTTAGATACCATAATGGAAAAAAAAAAAAGTATAGGAAATTTGTAAATAGGCAAAGAATAAAAATAATCACAGGTGGAAAACAGATCTTATGAGTAAAAATTACCAAAATTGGGGAAAAAAACCATTTTCTGGTATAATGAAGTTAACTTAGATAGAGTCATGCACAACTTAATGACAGGGATTCATTCTGAAAAATGAATCAAGTGATTTCATCATTGTGCAAACATCATAGAGTGCACTTACACTAAACCAGATGGTATAGCCTATCACACACTTAGGCTGTATGGTATAGCCTACTACTCCTAGGCTACAAGCCTATACTGCATGTTATTGTATAAGATTAAATCAAGTAGCAAGCTTTTTTTATAAGTAGAAAGAGTACACTCTAAAATAACTAGTAAATACATAAACAACATTATTATCAAATATTATGTACTGTATATAATTGTGTGTGGTATAATTTTATGCATCTGGCAGCTCGGGTTTGTTTCACCAGCATCACCACAAATGTGTGAGTAATGCACTGTACTATACGTTAGGATGACTATGACATCACATGTGATAGAAATTTTTCAGCTCCACTGTAATTTTATGGGATCACACCATCATCTATGTAGTCCAATGTTGACCAAAATGTCGTTGTGCAGCACAAGACTGTAAATAATTAGCTAACGCCTCTGTCCAATGAATAAAGGAATTTAAATATGAAAGAGTTGCAGATTGGATAATATAGGGGGAAGAGGAAATGGCGACATTGACTTATTTCTAAATATGCTATTCTTACTTCAAGGTCCAGTTCCTCCTTCTTCCCAAAATATTCCCCTGACTGCTCCAGCCCTAAATGTCCTAAACATCAAATAGTATTTTCGGAATCATACGGTTTAGAATTTAATTGCTCTGTAAATGCTCATGTTTTAGTTTTCTTTCAAACTTGCTACTAAATCTATAAGAGCAAATATCATACCCATGACCCTCTGCCCTCAAAAAATACCTAACACAGTTAAGAGCATAAGTAAGATTCTACTATGTAAGTTATGGTGATTGAATAATTTATTATTCAAACTGGGACACTTTTGAAATGAAGGGAAACCCATATAGAATCCAATTATCCAAGAGAGGACTGGACCAAAGATGTTCAGAATATCATCTAATCCCCAGTAAAATCTGTATCCTTTACCGGATAAACAAAGCATTTTCCTCCCCTTCCACATGAAGGCAAGTGCTGCCATTTGTTAAAGGAGCATTGACTGACTTTATAAACATCACCTCACAAAAACCCTTACAGAATTGTTATTAACATCCAAAAGCTATAGAGGGGAAAGACACGTTTTAGAAAAGTTAAATAGCTTGCCCAATATTATAACCAAGGAAGTGACAGAGCTTAATGTAGTCAGATTTTAACAACACTCATAAATTCAGTTTATATTTTAAAATGAAATCTGTTCTGTACAAGGAAATGTGAAGGATGAGTAAGGTTGAGCTCCTTGAAGGCAGAGACTACAAGTATAAAGAGATTGCAGACACTGAGCAGACCACTAAACTCCAGTGTGCTAAGGGCTGTGAGAGGGAGCTCATGAGGTCCCAAGAGAGCATACAGGATATTTAACACCAGCTGGCATGATCCTGGGAGACTCCCCAGAGGAGGTGAAACCTCAGTTGAATCCTGCAGAACAACTTTGAGCTTGGCAAAAAGAACAGCAAAAGGCATTCCAGACAGAGGATAAAACAAGCAAGGAATCAGGAGGGAACATGACTTGCAAGGGCAAGTGGCAGAAGATGAAACTGGACGAACTGAAAGCGGCAACTATATGCCAAGTTCAAGAGTTTGAATTTTTTCCTAAATGTTAAGACACCATTAAATAATTTTAAGAAAAGGAATGACAGATCAGAAGTGCACCTTTAAAAGATAAATCAAGTGGTCTTTTGGAGAATGGACTTAGGCATAGAGAGGGGAGGAGAGAAGCAGCCAAACTGATTTTTAGGGTCCCAGAGAGATGAAATTCCAACATTCTTTTCCTATAAAAAATTTCGATCAAAAGGTGTTTATATTGGTAATAAAAACATGAAGAACAATGAAAGAATTAGAATCAGAATGCCAGAATAGCAAGAAATCAGTGCAGCTTAAGTGATCAAACTCTTCATTTACCCATTACCATCTAAATGGATTGCTCCACATGTAAAAAAAAAAAATGCAAAAAAAAATGACAGCTTATCCCTTTGAGTATCAAAATTAACTTAGACGAGATTGAAGAAAATCTTTTAAAAGCATTTATTTTCTCCTTCTCAACAGAGAAGGAAGACTGAACATAATTTAACCATTCCTTGATGACCCAGAAGCAGCATATTAAAATGAAATACTGGGCCTGACTCATCAGTTCTTTGTCCTTTCGAGCCACCTGATATGGACAACTCTCACCCATAGCCTTGGTTTTCTGGTATTCAGAATGAGAGTAATCTTTGTCAGCCAAAGCTGTAGTGAGGTTTGAACAGAATGATTTAGAAACACTTACAGTTGGGGTTCTTTGGTTCTATTTAGGGCCCTCTGGCTCACTCTGTTGGGGCTGCTTTCCAATCAGGTCTTCAAATTTTTTCATGTTTATACATACAATAATCACCCTCAGTCAACCACAATTCCTGAAATTACTTGCAGGTCTGAATTATCTGTATAGAACCAACTCTTATAGTCAAACCAATTCTTTCAGTGTCTATTCTTTGTAGAATGAATACAAGTCATCTTCAATGTATTCATAAATTGAATACTACTAAACCAGAGCCCGGAGGAAAACAATTATTGACTTCCAACATAATTGTGCCCAGAGGGTAGATGTTAACTTCATTGCTATACGCAGTTTCCTGGGTCTCATTCATTTGTACAGACCAAGCACAATGATTAATAGTAATATAAACAACGCCATTTTCTCATACCCTTGAGTGTCTGGAATACAAAAAGCAATACTATTAATACACAGCAATTGCGAAACCAGAAGTAAATAAGTAGCAAAAAATGAATACCTAGCTTTTAAAGAATTACAAACATGACCATGACATTATTTTAAGCAGAAAGGAAGCAAACTAATTTTAAAAGCAAACATCTTTCTGTGGTTTAACTATAACTAACCAAGTAGTGCTTAAAACTGCTTCAAGTACGTCATTCACTCAAAAACACCTGAAACTTTACTCTGCATGAGGTTACAGAGAAACTCTCTCTACGACAGACTTCATCCCCACCAGCCAGTCTGGCAATGCATTGCTCAGTAACAATGACCACCACTTACTAACCACTCACACTCAAAACTTGGCACTAGTTTACTTGATCTCTTCTATTACTTAACCACTCCAATGTGACTATCATTGTCTTCTTTTACAGATGAGGATACTGAAGCCGGGACGATTAAGTGACCTGCCCAAGACCACATCCTTGAAGGGGTTTCCTACAGATGCTGGAACCTAGAAAGACCCTGAAGAAATTCATTCCTGGAGTAGTCTTCACTTAGGAACCCCAAGGCCTACCACGATGTGCAATATTAAATAGTGGGCGCATAAAAGCCAACCGAATGAGTAAAAGCACTATTTCCGAAAACAAACCCCGCCTTGCCCCGGGCCGGCCCAGTCAGGGCTTCCTTGTGAATCCCATCTCACTAAGATCTGCCCTGCTGTCCCAAGGATCACACCCCCTCCTAGGAGTACGAGACTCGCTCCTTTTTTCCCAGCCCAGACAGCCAGTCCAGGGGAAGTGGAGGGTGTGGGCTTCAAGGAGCTGAAGTATGGCCCTGGGTGGACACAAGGGACTTCCTCTCCTGGGACCCACCACCACCCGCGTGTCACACGTCCGAAGACCGACACGGTGTCCCTCCCAACCAGCACCCAAGCCCAAGCTTCCCCCCGCCCAAAAGCGCGCCTACGCCCCCACCGCTGCGTCAGCACGTCGCCGTGACGTCAGCCCGCTTTGCTCTGCTTGAAATGGGTCCGAAGGGGCCACATAGAATGACGCCGCGCGGATGTTAGTGGGAACCCGGCAGGCGAGCATACCTGTATTCTCTAGCCCTGGGTGGGCTAGGAGGGTGCAGGAAGCAGTGGGCAGTGCGGTGGGTAAAAGCTAGGAAGAAAGGAAAGGGCTCCGAGGCAGAAGCAGGCGAATTCTTAGAACTGCTAGCGGTGGAAGAGTGCCCGCTAACGTGCCAGTGAGACAAGCAGAGCTAGTAACCAGCAAGGGTTTCTCTGGCAACGGCCGCCTTTTCCGTTGGGCCCGCTGTTGCGCAGCCGATTGGTCGGCGGGGAAAAGAGCGCGCAGAGGCCTGTTGCTATTGGCTGGAGTGAGGGAGGGCGGGGAGAGGCGCAGCATCTCTCAGTTTCTTAGTTTCCCCCGCAAACCTTTTGTTTTATTAAAGGACAGAATTTGTGTGTAGTTATAAAAATCCATAACCAGAAAGAGAAATAAGTATGATAAATTCCAAATTTTTGGACACGTGTTCTGGAAGTGACCTGCTTTTGCTTTTTTTTTTTTTATCCTGGAAAATTGCCTTGTGCTTTATTTTTTTTTTTAATTTATTGGGGTGACATTGGTTAGTAAAATTATATGGATTTCCAGTGTATAATTCTATTATACATCTCTGTATATTGTACTGTGTGTTCGCCACCCAAAGTCAATCTTCTGGCACCAGATATTTGATTCCCTTTACTCATTCATCTTCCCTTTGCCCACCATTCCCTCTGGTAACGACTGAATTGTTGTCTGTGTCATGAGTTTTTGTCTTGTTCATTTGTTTTATTTTTATATGAATGAAATGATAATGGTTCTTGACTTTTTCTGATTTACTTTGCCTAGCATGATATTCTCAAGATCCATCCATGTTGTAGCGAATGGCAATATGTAAATTGGTACAGCCACTGTGAAAAACAGTAGGGATGTTCCTTAGAAAATTAAGACTAGAGTTACCATATGACCCAGCAATCCCTCTTCTGGGTATCTACCTGAAAATTTTGAAAACATTTATTTGTGAAGTTGTATGTACCCATATCTTCATTGTAGCATTATTCAGGGAGGCCAAGACATGGAAACAACAGAAGTATCTTTTGATAGGCGATTGCATACAGGAGGTATGGTACATATATACAGTGGAATACTACCCAGCCATAAGAAAAGATGCTTTTGCTTCTTATAGGGGAGATTTTTTTAAAAACCAAGGTAACTACTACTGGAAGAAACCTCATTTTAATGTATGGTGTTATTTACCTGCGATCCTTCCCTGGTCTCTGATTTCTTCCATTAAATGGGGGAGCCCGATGGTGATCACCAAGATACTTTTCAGGTCTCAAATTCTTTGTATCTATGCTACACCCTGATGGTATGGTTTATAAACTCCTGAACAAGCAAAATTTTTTCCAAATATTATTTGGAAAAATATAAAACTTTATCCAACACTTTATCTTTCATGTTAAGGATCCTATACATATTAAGTTCACAAATAGAGCAACTATCAACTGAGCAGTTTAATTGTGGCATACCTCATTATTGATTTTACTAAAGAATATTTTCCATTAATGATTCTAGCAATTCTTTTTTTTCCTCCATAGCACTGTTATTGTCCAGCCAAAAGTTCATGAGAATTAAAAGTTCCTTCATAATAAATACACTGTTTCACATATGCAAATACTAAAAAGCACTAGAGACTGGAGATTTAAGTATTTACTTCTTCACTGATGGATCATGACCTTGGCAACTAACTTCTCTGGGCTAGTCTTATCACACACACACACATACACACACACACACATACACACACACACACACACACATACACACACACACACGTGGGTGGACAGGTGGAGTTGGGGCAAGAGACATAATTTCTAGGGCCTTTCCAACACTAACCTAGGATTCTACCTAACCTTGCTAATGTCATAAATAGAAAATTAATTGTACAGAGAAGTTAGTCTCCTCTTATGAAAAGTACTTATTTTAATTAAATTGCATCGGTATTAAGTATAACCACCATGATAAGAATTCAAGAGAAAATATTTACAAAATCTCAAAATGATTACATAAGGTTCTCAAATTGACTTTTTAACTGAATTGTCCAGGTAAAGTAAATATAACCTCCCTCATCCTCTAAATCTGATCTGTTCCTAAGATCTGGTTGGACATTGAATTATTAGAAAATACCTTTTTCCATTATTATTTAAATGGAAAAAAAAATAATTTATTCCAGCCCATTCAAAAACCTCAGTTTCTTTAGATATCATTAATCACTTGATAACCTATTAAACAGTCCACCAAAGATTTCCACATAATTTAAAACAGAGGGCAACATACTTTTTCTGCAAAGAGCCACATATTATTATTTTAGGTTTTGTGAGTTATACAGACTCTGTCATACTTAACACTGCCATTGTGGCATAAAAGGTGCCAAGGAGGATACATAAACAAATGGCTTGGCTGTGTTCCAATAGAATTTTATTTACGAAAATAAGTACCAAGATAGATTTGGCCCATAGGACATAGTGTGCAGATCTCTGATATAAAGCATTTAAAACATCAAGTGCCTGATTTAAAAAAAAAACAAAAAACAAAAAAAACACCTCATTCGTTGTGGTACATTTGCGTATAGGATGCAACAATACATTATTGATGAAAATTGTGTTTTTCTCCCTGCGACAAATATATACTGTAATGTAAAAATTGCAGAAATGAAATAATAGGTTAAAGATACTTGACAAATACAAATAATACTTAGCAAAATAAAAAGCAATTTAAAAAATTTTTTGGTGGTAAACTGCTTCCAAAGACGGCCTCTGAACAATTGTCTCATCGTTGTACACCCAACACAAGTGGAATCTACTTCCCTTCTTGAATTTGAACAATAGAATGTTGTAAAAGTGACCCTGGGCCAGTTCTAGATTTAGGCCTTGAGAAACCTAGCAGGTTCTGGTTTCCTTTCTTTGAAGCCAAGTACCATATAATTACCCAATTATCCTTCTGTTGAGCAAAACCCAGGCAGATCCCAGCTGACAGCATGAGGTGCTAGACATGTGAGCCATTGATTTTCAAGGTCCAACCATATTCCCTCTGAATGCAGCTATGTGAGTGACCCTAGCCAATACCATGATCCAAGGGGATGAAAGGTGAAACAACTTTCATTCTAAGTGGGTAAACTAATATGGTCCAGACCATTGGACCCAAGAAAATTCAGAAGTAGGAGAACCCTAAATTTTCATAGAGTTTATCCCCTCCACTTTCTCAATTGTATGTTTCTTTTCCAGCATGTTTTGGTTTTCTTTTGTTGTTATAACAAACTTAGTGGTTTAAAACAACTGTTTTGTTCATGATTCTGTGAGTGAGAAATTCAGGCAGGGTTCAGCTGGGTGTTTTTTCCTCCATATGGCAATAGCTGGGTTGTCTCATATAGTTGCAACCAGATTGCTGCTGAGGCTGAAATATCCCACATAACTTTAGTTATATGTCTGGTGACTTAGATTCATTTTAAGGACGAGGACTTCTTCCACTTTATCCTTGTGGCTCTGTATGTGGCTGTGTGTGTGTGTGTGTGTGTGTGTGTGTGTGTGGTAGCTGTATCCCAAGAGTGGGGGCTCAAGCAGCAAAGGCAGAATTTACAGATCTAAGGCCATGCAAGTTACACAGAATCACCACTGCTGCATTTTGTTATCTAAAATATATCAGAGGGCCAGCCCAAATCTGAGAGAAAGAGTGAAAGATTCCACCTCTTGGACAGTGTTAAGGTCACATTGCATCTACGGAAAGACAATTTACTACACAAGGCATCTATGGTATATGCTATTTCCTGATCAGTGGGTCTTAGTAGCACAATATCATACATATAGTAGACAAAAATGATATCCCATAAGGTGATGAAATGATCATAGTTCCTGCACACTAAATTATGAGAGAGAGCTAGAGAATTAACATAGCCCTTACATAAAGCAATAAATTCTCTCACTTCCAGATGAAAGCAAATAACTTAGTTTTTGCATGCATATTAGGATGAATAAAACATATTTGCCAGAGTGATATTTACATACTAAGTGCTAGGAATTGTGCTCATTCACCTGCCAAAAAGACTGCACCCAAATCAACATTTTAGATGACACTTTCACTTCTACACAGGCCAAATAAAAGATTAAATGAGGATGTAGTGAAAATCACCATCCCTACATCTTTCAGGTATTTAATGGTAGCACTAAATGCTATAACTCCCCCAGGAACATGGTATTGCTTTGGGTTTATTTACTCTTTTGGTAGAAAAGGGCAGTTCCAGGGACTACAGATTGGTTTTCCTATTACAATAGCAATGAATTAAGAAGCCAGTGCCAAGATGCTGTAAATTTCCATTAAGTTTATGAAGTTCAAGTCTATTTTCATCAGATCTAGCAATTTTTTGTTATACAGATCAAGTAGGATCTTAATAGGCTGTCCATCCATTTTAATTCCAGGGACACCACGATCAGTTATCCACCGCTAAAGATCTCTTTTACTTAAACAACTGTGATTATTGCCCTGCTGCCTATAATGATAACTGCAGCTACCTCATCTCTGATGGTTAAGTGCTGTCACTTGGCTTCTGCTGCTTTGAGATATTATTTCCACTAGGAAGTTAGGGATCCCATTCGATGGCTGCATCTCCTAACTTCATCTCTGGGCTTAGAGGGCAACAGCTACAGCACTTTTATAGGATTCTGGCATTCTCCTCCCCAGTGTTTTCCCAATACATTAGTGACAAGAGGGTCCTCTGAGCCCTCTCAGGACACATTTGGAGATAGCTGACTGGATCACAAATGATAAATCCATTCCAACCATCCTATCTTCCTTAGTCTTTTAAATCAATCCTCTAAAATATATCAAGAGATCTCTAGCATCTCAACTTTATTTAGTGCATGCACCACTGAGCTCGGATTTTAACCAACCAACTGAGTAAACCTTTAGAAACTCTATTGGATGCTCAGGCAAGCACAATGAATCCAGTCTCTGGTAAGTATATCTATATTGATAATTTCAGCCTCATCGAAATCATATTCTTTCATTCCTAGTCTAACACCCTAGGAATTCATTATCATAGGTTTCTGCTGATATAAACAAGCACATTCTTGCATAGTTTTTAGTATGAAAGACCTGGTCAGTATGAAAAACTCTGACTCTCCCGGGTCAGAGTTTTCACTTGTGCCCTGGAATGTATTGAAATCTAACTCTATGCAGATCTATACCAGTGGTTCTTGACTTTTGTTTTTGAGTCACA